TGAAATTTACAAATTCCTTGCAAGTCACAAACTACCAAAAATGACTGAAGAAAAAAAGGATAACTTAGGCCGGGTGCAGTGGCTCATGTCTGTAAGCCTAGCACTTTGGGAGGCCGAGGCTGATGGAAAGCCTGAGCTCAGGAGTTCAAGACCAGCCTGGGCAACATGGTGAAACCCCATCTCTACTAAAATACAAAAAATTAGCCACAGCGTGTGCCTGTAGTCCCAGCTACTTTGGGAGGCTGAGGCAGGAGTATTGCTAGAACCTGGGAGGTGGAGGTCGCAGTGAGCCTAAAGTTACAAACTCACGCACAAAGCAAACTCGATGCCCTGATGCTTTCACTGGAACATTCTAAGAAACATTTCAGAAAGAAATAATAACTATTTTACACAAACTAATCCATAAAATTTAAGTGAAGAGAGTATTTCTCAACAATTTCTATGAGGCTACTATTATGCTGATATCAAAACCAAAGACAAGGCCAGTCATGGTGGCATGTACCTCTAATCCCAGCTACTCCAGAGGCTGAGACAGGGGAATTACTTGAACCCAGGAGGCAGAACTTGCAGTGAGCCAAGATCCTGCAACTGCACTCCAGCCTGGGCAACAGAGCGAGACTCCATCTCAAACAAACAAACAAACAAACAAACAAACAAAAACAAAACAAAAAACAAAGACATTACAAGAACAGAAAATTACAGACTAAAATCTCTAATGAATATAGATGAATTCTTTAAACAAAAGTTTAGCAAATCAAATTCTTCAGTATATACAAAGATTAATACATTATGACCAATAGGAGTTTGTCTCAAGAAGACAAGTTTGGCTTAACATTCAAAAATCAAACAATGAAATGTGTCATGTTTAGTGGGTTGAGTAGAGTCCCTCAAAAATGTATGTTGGCCGGGCACAGTAACTCATGTCTGTAATTCCAGCACTTTGGGAGGCTGAGGTGGGAAGATCGCTTGAGCCCAGCGGTTTGAGATGAGCCTGGGTAATATAGGGAGACGCTATCTCTACAAAAAATTTAAAAATTACCTTTGTGTAGCGGTATGTGCCTGTGGTCTTAGCTGCCTGGGAGGCTGAGACAGGTGGATTGCCTGAGTCCAGGAGTTTGAGGCTGCAGTGAGCTATAATCGTGCCACTGCCCTCCAACCTAGACAATAGAGTGAGGCCATGTCTAAAACAAACAAGCAAACAAACAAAAAATGTCCTGTCCACTCAGAACCTGAGAATGTGACCTTATTTGGAAATAATCTTCATAGATGTAATTAGTTAAGGATCTCAAATAAAACTGTGCTGAATTTAGGGTGGTTCCTAAGTTCAATGACTGGTATTCTTATAAGGAGAGAAGAGGTCACAGAGACAAACAAGAAGAAGGCCATGTGAAGGTGGAGGTAGACAGAGATCACTGTTACGGTGCCACCACCCAAGGCAGCTTTGGGGCCACCAGACACTGGAAACGGCAGGAAGGTTCTGCTGTGGAGCTTTGAGCATGGCCCTGCTGACACCTTGATTTCAGATTTCTAGCCTCCGCAACCATGAGAATCAATTTTTGTGTTTTAAAGACACCAAGTTTGTGGTAATCTGTTACCATAAGAAACTAGTACACCATGTTAAGAAACTAAAAAATAAAAATCATATAATCACTTCAATCAATAAAGAAAAAACATTTGACGAAGTCCAACACCTACTCCTCATAAAAACAACTTTCAGCAAACTAGGGAACTTCCTCAACCTGGTAAAGAGCATATGGAAAACCTCTAGCTAACATAATATTGGTGGTGAAAGACTAAATACCTTCCCCTACAAGCAAGAACATAGCAAAAATATGCACTGTCACCACCTCCACTCGGGATTGTACTGGAGGCTCTAGCCAGTGCAGTCAGGCATAAAAAAGAAATAAAAGTCATCCACATTAGGAAAGAAGAAAAAAAACAAAAGCCTATAATCCCTGCACTCTGGGATGCTGAGGTGGGCAGATCACCTGAGTTCAGGAGTTCAAGACCAGCCTGGTTAACATGGTGAAACCCTGTCGTTACTAAAATACAAAAGTTAGCCAGGCATAGTAGCATGCACCTGTAATCCCAGCTGCTCGGGGAGCTGACACAGGAGACTCACTTGAACCCAGGAGATGGAGGTTGCAGTGAGATGAGATCATATCACTGTACAGCACTCCAGC